ATGTCCTGTGCCCTGGATAAGCGCTCCTCTTTGTCCACATCTTTATCCTGGGAGTACCTCCCTTCTGCCCATCGGCACCACTGGCTCACCAGGGGCCCCACCTCTTCTCTCTCCTCCTCTGTGGTGGGAGTGACAGCGGTGGAGGAGAAGCTACTGGCCTGCTCAGTCCAAGAGGCCAAACTCTTCAGATGTCCTGCCTTCCCAGGAGCCGAACGAAGGGCATATCGACGCTGGGGCTGGAATATCTACTCAGCCAGCCAAGATCCCGGGCAGGCGCTGCCTCTCCTGGCTTTGGAGAGGGGCAGATACCCCGGAGTTGGGGTGATCCAGATATCCAGGCAGCCTCACTCCGCCTGGCGTGGTCCAGCAGCCCAGGAGGCCAGCAGCATCACCGCGCTGAGCAGCAGGGCCACGGAGCTGGCAGTGTCATTGCCGGCGATGTCCCGGTGTCCGCACTGAGCTCTGGAGAGGGGCGGGCATGAGTCCTGTGGGCAGGGATGCTGGCTTGTGCAATTGCCGGGCCCCAGCGCCAACCACCTCGAGCACCTCATGATGTGCTGAGCACCTGCTCACAGGAGGTATGCAGTGGGTGACAGGGTCTCAAAGGTGGGCAAGACGTGGGCTCTGCCCTGGAGGCACGCAGGGCCCGCTCGGCTCAAAGGCACCCGGACGGCGGACTGCAGCCCTCCATGAGCCCTCACAGAGCTGTGCTGGAGCCGGGCTGTCAGCATCGGCAGTGAGACTCATCTCACTTCCCTCTGAAAGCCCCTCAATGGCTCCCCAGTGCCAACCCGCTAAAGACACAGCTCCCGGGCAGGCTGGCCCCTTAGCCTCAGCTCTCAGCTCTCTGCCCTTCACACCCAAACCATCCCCAGCGGCCACTGCAGCTCTAGCCTCCGCGCCATCACTCGCTTTGCTTCTCCCACCCAGAGCCTCCTCCTTCTCCTCCACCCCCGCTTCCCATTTATCCTGAGGATCACCTGCTCCCTTTAAACCAGCTCTCTCAGCCACCACCTCCTCTCTGGAACCTTCCTTGACCTCTTTCCCCCATACGCCCTCACCCCAGGCAGATGGACCACTCCTTCCCACTCCTGGACCTCATGCCTCTAGTTTAGCTCCTGTCATTCTGAATTGCCTGGGCTTGTTTGTCTATGTATCTCTTCTGCCCTCGTGTCTGATTTTTCTTTGTAGCCCTTGAAACTACCACACACTCCAGCACATAGTAGGTTTTCAATAGATGCTCAGTGAATTAGTGATAGCAAACCAGCCAGGGGCAGAGCATGCGAAGAGGAACAGATACTGCCGTCGGAGCCAGATCGGAGCTGAATCCTAGTTCCACACACTTACTCGTCTGCTTAAGCAAACTGTTGATTATTTACTCTCCTGGCCTCAGGTTGGCTCATCTGTCACATGGAAAGCCCACCGCACACCCCACAGCACGATGCCTGACCCAAGACACCTGCAGGCCCACCTGCCTCCTCCTCAGCGGCTGTGGGTGATGTTCGGACCACATGGGAGGCCCTTAGCCGCCAGGGAGGCACCAAGCAATCTGCAGGACTTGCTGCCCTGACTCCTTCTCGGCTGCAGTCTACACTCCGGACCAGCTGGAGGAGAGAGAATGGGAACCTTAAGCCTCCCCATCCCTCGACCTGGCGCCCCAGCCCCCAGAGTCTACGAGACCCCAAGCTCTCTTGAACACACTGTCCTGACCCCCAAGCTTCCTGGGGCCTTTGATGCCCTGAGCTTCACAGATTCCTCAGAACGTCTGCGCTTCCTTGGGTTCTCTGGGGTCTCTTGAAACCATGAGGATCCTCTACACTTCTCCACCCGCCTCCCTTCCTGATCACCTCCAAGCAGCCATGGAACCTGACTCGAGTCACCAAGAACTCTCTCTCTCTCTCTCTCACTAACCTCGTCTCCTTCTCCCCCCCCCTCCTCTGGGCACTGCCAGCTCTAACCCTGGCCCAGCTGGACACAGGCCAGCTGGCTGCCTGGCGCCGGCCCTCCTGTCGCAGCCACTCCAGCCAGCTCCGTCCTTTGCTGTGGAGCATGGTGCGATGCGCTCTAACAGCAAATTCAGCCTGAGAACTGCTGGCGGTGCACACGCTCCCCACGTGCCCAGAGCGGGGGAGAGAAGGAGAGAAGGGGAGACTGCAAATCGGTCCAACCCTGTGTGTTCCTCACATGCCCCAAGTCTTGGCCCAGACTGCCCCTGTCCCTAGGGCACCCTGCTCACCCTTGACTTCTCATCAAGGTTCAGCCCAGATGCCCCCAAACTCTTCTCTGAGCTCCGTCCATGGAGGTGATCTCTCCCGTTTTCCAGGTGAGGCACTTCAACTGGCAGAGATCAAGTCACTGACCCAGGGGACCTGGGCATCAGGTGGAAGGGGATGAAACACAAACCAGGTGAGAAGCAGGCACCGCCTCAGAGAGTAACACTCGTCTGATGGAATGTGGACACACGTGAGGCTCCTGGCAGCCCCGTGGCCTGGCCTGCGTTGGGACAGAGCTGCTGTGGGACGGGTCAGCCGCACCTGGGGCTGAGGAAACCCTCCGCTTGCCCGTGCTGCTGGCCTGGGCCCAGGCCTCCAGGCAAAGAGAGAGTGATGCCATTTTAAAAGTGAAAAATGCTTCCACTGCAATTAGCACCAAGTGGCAGGCAGTTTCCAGAAGCGGGCCGTGCAAAGCGGAATTCCAGCCACACCGGGCATCGCCGCCCAGAGCCCTGGCATTTCAGGGGGCTGCGCTGAGACGGCCCCGGCCTCCTGCCCATCAATTAAAGGGCAGGTGATGGAGAAGATGGCAACCTGTGATAGGAAGTCGGACCACCTTGTTCTACTGCCCCCTTCCCTACTGTGTGACTTTGAGCAAGTTGCTTATCCTCCCTGAGTCTCAGATCCACTGTCTGTAAAGTGGGAATGGTAATGAGCATCATCGTTGGCCTGTCATAAGGGTGTATGAGCTCATACTTGTAAAGCACTCGGCACAGTGCTTGCTCACAGCAGACACTCCCTCCTCACCCACAGAGCCTAGAAGCCCTAAGCGGAAGCCCCCCATTGAAACTAATGTTCTCGTGCGACTGAAGCTAAGTCTCTTGGCCTTGATCTGTTTTCCTGCTTGTAAAGTGGTGCCAGGTAATCCTCAGATAACACAAGGCCGGCCCTTGGCAGTTACTTATAAAACAGTAATTTATTATACAAGGTAATAGTAGGCTATTGGTAAAGTCTGGACACAAAGGAAGGGCTGGTAAAAACAAAACCTCATCGGTTTTGTTCCCTGACAGCAGATAGGAGGAGCAAAAAAGCGAAGAAAGGCATTGGTTCTATCAACAGCATGCATCATCCTAGCTACACTGGACACAGATCTCAGATGCCCTTGGTCACCACCTCCTTCCCAAAAGCCCTGGTCTGCAGCTTGCTGGCAAGGACAAGATGTTGCACCCTAGCACTAAGGAAGGGAGGGAGGGGGGGGGGGAGAGAGAGAGAGAGAGAGAGAGAGAGAGAGAGAGAGAGAGAGAGAGAAACATCAATGATGAGAGAAAATCATAGATTGACCATCTCCTACATGTCCCCTACTGGGAATGGAGCTTGCAACCTGGGCATGTGCTCTGACCAGGAATCAAATCCTGACCTCCTGGTTCATGGGTCAACACTCAACCACTGAGCCACACTGGTGGGGCTGGCTATTTTAATTATGTTGATTCTTCCAATCCATGAATATGGAATAGCTTTCAATTTCATTGTCTTTTTTCTATCTCTTTTAGAAATGCTTTGTAGTTTTCAGTATATAGGTCCTTCACATCCTTTGTTTCTCTTTTGGCTGCAATTGCAAAAGGAATTCTTTATTTCATTTCATTTTCTGAAGTTTCAGAAACTTGTTAGTATATAGGAAAGCAGTGGATTTTGATACATTAATTTTGTATCCTGCAAATTTACTGTATTTGTTTATTGTTTCTAACAGTTTTTTGGTGGAGTCTTTAGGGTTTTCTATATACAGCATCATGTCACCTGACATCTTGAAACAAGATCCTTTTTCTCTCTGGGTTCTTTGCACCAAGAACAGTGCCTGGCACATAGTCAAGGACCGTTGGCCTAAATCACGGTGAGATTAGTAAGAGATCTAGATCCTGCTCCAACTCTGTCACCACCTTCTGAGACAGTGAAAAACCCTGGCGAAGGCACTTCTCTGAGCTTCAGTTTTCCCTTCTGGAAAATGGGGATAATGTTCCCCGTCCCCTTCTCATTCGTGAGGGATCAAATGAGAGAGAATGGGATTGGTCCTCTAGTGCAGCAGGAGACACAGCCCCCTGCAAGACATCAGCATTGAAGTCGTTAACAACTGCTAACAGTGTTACTACTAACTGACAGTCTGCCTAGTTGGAGGGAATTCTCCCTCCTTCCTCCAGGATTGCCTGGTTTGCCCTAACCCACTTCTGTATCTGTTGGAGGATGAAGCCAGGCCCCCTCCTCCCTACCCTTTGTCTCACAGATTTCATATGACCTCAAAATGTCCTTCCAGTAGTCTGACCTATGTCCTTCCTGTTGCAGCCCTGCCTGCTCCCCTCCTCAGGTGTCCCAAGAACATAATCCTGAGCACCTTTTAGGGCTTATCTCCCTAAGGTTGATATCCCCACTGCCACTGCTCAGAGCAGAAGCTGAGATGGAGACAGAGAGAGAGAAAGGGAAGTCCCCGTCTGGAGTGAGGGAGTAAAGAAAGAATCAGGGGGGATCGAGGTCAGATAGCAGAATGGACTTCCTAACACCCAGACAGAGCGACTGACACAAACACCCACCACCACACCACCACCACCTTCAGCTGCCTGGCTTCCGGGGGAGGGACGACTGTCTTATGGCTTTCCATGACGTGGGTGCTCTGCTAGGGCTAGGGTTGTGGGTAGAGCGACATTTCCTGCCCAGGGGGCAGGGGGAGAGAAGAGTTGCTGAGTGTGCACACGTTCTGAGAGCACAGACACACACCCGGCTCCTGGGCTCCTTCTCAGGCTGCCCCCATGGAGCTCCCCCTGGCCCAGATAAGCCCCCAAGGTAAGTGTGATGTTTAAGAATGTGGGTGGGAGGGGACAGGAGACCCCTGGGCCAGAACCCTCCCGCAAGCCAGAGCTGGCAGGGGGCCCACCACCCCTTCTCCTTCTCTGGGACTGCAGGTCCCCTCAGCCCTGAGAACAAAGGTGACAGGGTCTGCTGTGTGCTTCTTAGGGAGGAGGGAGGAGGGATGGGGGAAGCCAGGGGACCCTAGGCCAGAAGAGGGGCTGCACTAAAGAGATCTGCCTGGCCCGGCCAGCGTGGCTCAGTGGTTGAGCGTCGACCTATGAACCAGGAGGTCACAGTTCAATTCCCAGTCAGGGCACCTGCCTAGGTTGCTGGCTCGATCCCTGGAGGGGACCTTCACAAGACAGCCAATCGATGATTCTCTCTCACCTTTGATGTTTCTCCCTCTCTCTTCCTCTCTGAAATCAATAAAAAAAAGATATTTTTTTAAAATAAAGAGATCTGTCTCAGCTCCCTGATTGTGGGACTGACTTCCAGGCCACCAGACGACCAGCTGACATCCACCTGCTTTCCTGGTGCCCAGTTGCCCCCAACAAGCCCCTCTGCTGCCTCAGCCCTCTTCGCCTCATTGGCTCCATACTCCTCTTCCTGATAAACTCCCCCGTCTCCCCCCACTGTCCTACCTGCATTTCTCCTGCTGTCGTGACTGTCCCTGTCCTCCAGGTCCTGGTCAGAGGCACCTCTCAGCCTGGGGGAGGGTGGGCAGCAGAGAGAGGCAGTCCCTCACCGAGAGCCCCTCCGTCCTCTTTGTGCCAACAGGAAGTCACAACACCCCCCCTCCGACCTTCACCACCTTCCAGCCCTTGGACTTCACTCGAAAAAGCTGCCAGGACTTGCTTAAGGAGACCAGACTCCAGGCCCTGCAGGCTGGAGAGGCCCCGTTCAGCCCCCGAGCCCCAGATGTCCACGCTGTGGTGAGTGGGAACCTGGGGTGCAGCTCCTGCATCTGCTCCCAAGCCTCCCCTGGGTGAGGACACACAGACGGACAGAGGCCAACGGGAGAAAGCAGGAGCGGTCTGGGGCTGCCTACAGGGCAAGGGCACAGAGGAAAAGGAGGTGGGAAGTCCCTCCTTCGTGCGCTGAGCTGCTCCTCAGTCCCTGGGAAGCTCAGCTGAGTCCCCAGGCGACCAAGGTACAGTGAGGGTATCGAGTCCTGGAAGCTGGCGTCGGCACCTTCACCCGAGGCTTCTATTCGCCTGGCACATCCCATCTCAGTCCCTCTCGCCTGCCCAGTGGTGAGAAGGTCCTCCCTGCCAACCCGCGCAGTCCCTCCTACTGTAGGGTGAGCTCTCCCTTATTCTGGCCTCTGGGGTGACCACCAGCATCACAGTCTTCGTCCTTCAGGCCCGGGCATGACTTTCTGTCCATCTGGAAGACTTCACCCCCGTTTAGGCACAATTTAACAGCTTACGCTACTGGCTTAAAGGCCAAGAGGGAAGTAGGAAGAAATTTCCCTGAAACCAGACAGCGGGAGCTGAAGACGGGATTTAAGTTACACTTTAGGAAGGACTTTCTGGGCAATTAGACTTAAAATAGGCAACTGGGATGGGGGCTGGGAGCTCCCTCCCATGTCCAGGAGGGTCTGGGATAAGAATGAGAAGGTGGCCGCTGGCCTGGAGTCAGGAGAGGGCCCACGAATCATGGCGTCTTTCCCTCCTTGAACCAGGCCTCTCCCCAGGCCCCGGGGGCTGCCTCCAGTCAAGAGGACACAGGGAAGGCTGAGGAGGTGCCTAAGGAAGGAGGCCAGTCCCTGCAGGCGGAGACCCGGGCTTGGTTCCAGAAGACCCAGGCCCGTGGGCTCCTGCAGCGCGGGGCAGCCCCTCCTTGGTTCCACGGCTTCATCACTCGGAGGTGAGTCACCAGGAGGAAACAGGCCCAGAGAGGGGCAGGGGCAAGGCCTGGGTCCGCAGCCAGTCGGGCGTCGATTGGGCTACAAGTCCGGAGGCTCCCAGGCCACTCCCCAAGGCATCTCTCCTGGAGGAGATGGTTGGAGAGGCTCCAGTCCACCCCCCTCTGTGCCTCAGTCTCCCCTCTCTGCCATAGACTCAATTGTCCTCCTGTATCTACGGCCTCTAATCCTCATGGTTTCCACCTGCCTCTCAGGCTCTCCCGCCATCTTTACCTCGGGCTCACCCAGCCCTCTCCTCTTTCTTGCCTCCCTTGCAGTTCCTACCTCCTCCTCCATTTCTACTTCACTTCTGTCAGCTTGACTTTTGACACCTAGAAGTCTATTACCATCCCTGTTGGGGCGGCCGCAACACCACCCCCAGAGCCACCACCACCTCACTCCCCGCGACCCCCCCCCTCTACTCCCCGCCAGCCCACAACCAGCCCACAACCAGCGGCCCCTCCAGGATGGGGCCGGGAGGATGCAGGGCTGGGAGTCGTCCTGGGTGGGCCCTCTGGGTCCCGTCCACGCCCAGGCCCTGCAGCGGAAGAGCAGTGCCCACATCCTCCCTCTCCCATCCCCCCCTCTCCAGCCACCAGTTCACCTGGTTTGGGGTGGGGTCCCCCGTGAGAGCCCGGGAAACAGGGGTCAAGGCTGGAAGGGTCAGAGCCCCGTTCTCTCTTCTCCTCCGTCACCGCAGAGAGGCCGAACGGCTGCTGGAGACCAAGCCGCAGGGATGCTACCTGGTGCGGTTCAGCGAGAGCGCCGTGACCTTTGTGCTGACCTACAGGTGAGGGGCGGGCCCGCGACCAGGAAGCGGCTTCGGGGTGATCGGAGGGGCGGGGCTGGGTGCGGCGGAGGCGAGCCCCGCCTGCAGCTCCTCCCCATCCCCCTGCGGAGAGGGGGACACCCTGGCGCGGGGCGGGGAGGGTTGGGGGTGTTGGGGCGCAGGCCTGATCCCGACTGGGCCCCCCAGGAGCCGCACTTGCTGCCGCCACTTCCTGCTGGCCCAGCTCCGGGACGGCCGCCACGTGGTGCTGGGCGAGGACAGCGCCCACGCGCGGCTGCAGGACCTGCTGCGCCACTACTCGGGGTCCCCGCTCAGCCCCTACGGGGAGACGCTCAGCCAGCCCCTGGCCCGCCAGGTACCTGACCCTCCCCCTCCCCCTGGCCCCCCCTTCTGCCCTGACCCTCACCCTCACCTGACCAGCGCCCCTTCTCATAGAGCCCGGGACACCGGGCACTTTCTCCGGCGGGAGGACTGCCCGGCCCCGCTCCTGCCCGCCTCTCCGTGGGAAGCCCGTGGAGAGGGTGCACGCTGGGCGGGAATCCCTGAGACCAGCCCAGCCAGAGACATGGCTTCTGAGGACCCAGTCAGGCACATGGGGCATTTGTGGGTTTTATTTTGTTTTGTTGTTTTAATTTATTAATTTGAGAGAGAGAGGAAGAGAGAGAGAGAGCGAGAGAGAGAGCGAGAGAGAGAAATATCGATTTGTTGTGCCACCCATTCATGCATCCACTGGTTGATTCCTGTATGTGCCCTGACCAGGGATCAACCCGAAACCCTGGTGCCTCAGATGATGCTCCAACCAACTGAGCCACCCGGTCAGGCAGGCCATTTGTTTTGCGTTTTTGTTTTGTTTTTAATTAAAAGATATTTATTGCCCGGCTGGTGTAGCTCAGTGGTTGAGCATCAACCCAGGAACCAAGATGTCAGGGGCACATGCCCAGGTTGCAGGCTTGATCCCTAGTAGGGGGCATGCAGGAGGCAGACAATCGATAGTGTTTCTCTCTCATCAATGTTTCTATCTCTCCATCCCTCTCCCTTCTTTTTCTAAAAATCAATGAAAACATATTTGAGGGGGAAAAAGATATTTACTGAATACCCAGCATGTACCAGATGCTGCAGGCTCTGGAAATAGAACCATGGACAGACAGATGGTTCCAGACCCACAAAGCTTACTAACCAGCAGCAAAGAGACAAATAATGGGAAACAAGTGTGAGGGTGGATGAGAGAGGAGAGCTGTGTCAGGAATCACCTCCCTGAGGAAGTTCAGGCAGTTCTGAGGGACCACTCTGTGCCAGGCATTGGTCTGGGGAAATAACAGTAAACAAAACTGACCAAAATATCTCTGCCTTCATGGAGCTTGCATTCTAGTGAGAGGAGACAGACAATGAACACAAGGTGTAGGCATGCTCTAACAAGAATCCGCTGCGAGCCCTTGTGGTTTTTGTTCTTGTTGATCCTCACCTGAGGACATTTTTTCAATGGTTTTTAGAGAGTGAAAGGGAGGAGAGACAGAGAGAAACATTGTTATGAGAGAGACACATTGATTAGTTGCCTCCCACATGCAGCAGGGGATCGAGCCTGCAACCGAGGTATGTGCCCTTGACTGGAATCGAACCCAGGACCCTTCAGTCCACAGGCCAATGCTCTATCCACTGAGACAAACTAGCTGAGCACTGTGAGCCCTTATCTTCCGTTGGCCCAGTGGAATCCTAGGGGAGGTCTTAGGAGAGGGTCTCAATAGAATGTTCATTAGCTTTTCAGGTGTGTCCTTCAATATATTGATTCATCAGAATGTGCAGACAGAGGGGTCGGGGGTTAGTTTTACTTTTAACAAACATTATTGAAGAGGGACCAGACCGAGGCTGGTCTGCCCCAGGACAGTCTGAAACGTGTAAACCATTTGCTCCTAAGTGTCCTTGGTTAGGGAAGATAAAACCTTGTGATTCATTAGCTGGCTGTAAATTGCTCAAAGTGTTTGGCCTTGTTTAATTATTTTGTCTCGGTTTCCCTTATTCCACTTATCAAGGAATTTCCCCAGCTTCTTCCTATCCTGCCACAAGAGGAGGAAGCTATGGAGGGGCAAGTCTGGGGGCAGTGGAGATCAGGAGGTCAGTTTTGACGTGTACAGTTTGAAATGGCCATTCGATGTCCACGTGGAGACATCAAGTAGGCAGTTGGAATACACGGGTCTGGAGTTGGGAGAGAGGTCTGGACTAGAGATAAATATTTAGTCATCAGCATGTAGCTGGACTGATTCTAAAGCCTTCAGAGGGGGTGAAATCTCACTCAGGGGTGAGTGTAAATGGAAAAGAAAGGACTACCACGTCTTCAGCATTTGCAGAAATGAGGGAGAACCTACAAAGAACATTGAGAAGGAGCAGAGAGAGAGAGGAGAAAACCAGGAGTGTGATGGTCTGGAAGCCAAGCAAAAAAAAAAAGCAAGTCAGGGAAGAGCAAGTGCCTAGGGGTCCAGAACTGACCATTGAATTTAGCCAAGAACTCACTGGGGACCTGGGCAAGAATGGTTTCTTGGAGCTTGACTGGAATCAGCTCAAAAAAGTGGGGTCGCTCTGGCCGGTGTGGCTCAGTTGATTGGGTGTCATTTCATGCTCTGCAAGGCTGCTGGTTTGATTCCTGGTCAGGGCACATGACTGGATTTTGGGCTTGATCCCCTGTAGAGGGTGTGCAGGAGGCAGCCAATCGATGTTTTGCTCTCACATTGATGTTTCTCTCTCTCTCTAAATATCAATAAAAATCTTTTGTTAAAAATGATATTTTGTTAAAAGTGGGAACTATGCCTTATAGGCAACTCTTGTAGAATTTTGTGAGGAATAGGGGGAGACCTGAAGGTTCTGGAGCAGTGAGAACGGGGTGTAAGGAAGTCTGGAGGTGAGGGGAACCAGCTGGAACTGACAGAGCTGAAGGCAGAACAGGGTCTCAAAGGGTCTTGTCACTCAAGCTCTTTGGAGTTTGGACTTTATCATGGAGCAAGGGGCAGCCACCGAAGGATTGCTAGGTGAGTTTCTGCAGGCTCACGCATGTAGAGTGGAGAGTGGGCTGAAAGGGCAAGATAACACGGGAGGATTTAAGAGGCCTGGACTGTGTGTGGTGGCTGTGGGCAGGGAGAGAAGTGTGCAGATGTAACAATATTTAGGCAGTGGAAGGAGCAGGGCTGTGTTCCATCAGATGTGGGCAGGGAGGGGTCAAGGTTGACTCCTAAGATACTGCTATGGCAGGGGGGGAGGGAGGTATTACTTTTTATTCATAAAGGGAATGCTGAGAGAGGAGGAGGAGGGGGCAGGGAATAAGAATTCCGATTTGGATCCATGAAGCCTGCCGCGCCTGGAGGCCTCCAGATGGAACGTGCACTTGGCGGATTGCAGGAGCACAAGGAAAGCCTATGGCCTGAGCCACCTGGGGGCATCCATGACCCAGGGCTAAATGCTGAACTAAAAGCACACCTATTGAGGGAGGGAAGCGTCCCACTGTAGGGCTCATCCCCTCTGAGGCGGTCTCTCGGCCCTAAAACATCTGGCTGATCTCTCCATAAAGTATTCCTCTGGCACCTGCAGAAATAAACGTAGGCACAGCAGTCTTGGAGATCTCTCATGCCAAAAAATATTAGGCTAAAGACTTCTCCAGGCTTGTTGCATGTTTACAACCACAGGCACAAACGGAGACCAGCCTGGCCCTGTGCTGCAGGTGAAATTAAGTTCAATGCTAGAGATTGCCGTGACCAGAGCGACCTCCCCACCCCCCTGTCTCCTTGCCATCCTTGTGCCCTCTTCTTCACCCAGGGAACCCAGGACAGTCCGAATTTCCGTGCCCCTCGCCCCATCCTCCACCTGGACTGGTTTATTTTGTCCTCCTGGATCACCTGCCCGCCCCACCCACTGTCCCTGTTCAACCAAGTCCCTCAAGCCTCCTTTCCCTGCAGACTCCTGAGCCAGCAGGACTTTCCCTAAGGACTGAAGAAGCAGACGCTGCAAGCAAAAGCCAGGACCCACACCCCCAGTATAGCCCAGTCCTCAAAAAGGAGAAGCCCAGAGCCCTCATGCAGAAAGAGGGGGGCAGCGAGCCAAAGGAGGTATTGGGCTGGAGGAACTGGGAGGAGGCAGGGCAGAGGGAGGTGAGGACCCAGGAGACAAAAAGGAGGCATGGCCAGTGAGGAGTGGGGTCAGTGGGAGGAGGGGGTGTCTGCAGAGGGCAGAGCTCTGGCTGGGCTCCTGGTTGCTCTGACCCACTCTCCTCCCTGGCGTCACTCTCTCCTAGCCCTCCCAGCCGCCTAGACCCAAGCCTCCCGTCCCCGCCAAACCTCTGCTGTCCTCCGAAGCCTACACAAGCCCAGCGCCAAGACTCTGCCGGACCCTGCCCGCCAAGCCCTCCAACCCCATCTACCACGAGCCGGATGAACCCATAGCCTTCTATGCTATGGGCCGGGGCAGCCCTGGGGAAGCCCCCAGCAACATTTACGCCGAGGTGGAGGTGGAGATGGAGGTGCCGTCAGGGGGTGAGGGTCCATCGTGCATCCTCTGGCACCCGGTCCTCCGGAAGTGCCGGTCCAGGCCTCTCCCAGGAAGACAGGTAAATGGGGGAGCAGGGAAAAGCTAGATCACAGGAAGGATTTCCTGAAAGCTGCTGTGGGAAGGGTTCAGATTGGATGCCTGGGTCAGGGTGAAGGTCAGCAGTCTGAGGTGAGCTGGGGAGGACAGAGTCCAGGCTGCCAGCACTCCTTTTGCAG